CTGGTCGGCTCCACATTGGCCTCCAGCAGCGCTGGTCGGCTCCACATTGACCTCCAGCAGCGCTGGTCCGGGTTGCCTTGAGTATCTGGGAATAGAACCACCGCTCCCAGAGACTGACTGCCTCCTTTAAGCAGGCACTTAAACAACTGGGCTAATGGGCGGGCCCCCAAGCCTGTCCTAAAAATACGAGGCTAGCAACACTTGTGCACTCCAACCACAGATGCTTGGAAGCACACGGGCCAGGCCCTCTGAGGACAGCACAGAAGCCCTGGCCATGAGGCACCTAGCACCGCGTGGGCCCAGGGAAGCTCGTGCCCAGACCACACAGGCCCAGACACGTAAAAGCTTAGCATCACTTAGGCTCAGCGCCACAGTGGCCTTGACCCAGGCCCTGCTCGCACAGACCCTGAAGCCCACAGCCCAGCCCCCACAGGCCAGGGACTGAGCAGGCCCAGACCAAACAGCTGCGGAGTCACACAGCCCCTGCCCTGCAGAAGCCAGAAGGTGCAGGGCCATAGAGACTTAAAGCCAGATGGCTAAGCCCACACGGGCCCTGACCGCCACTGTCCCGGATCCTGGCAGGTGGAGGAGTCACACAGACACACCCAGGACAACACAGGGCTTGCCCCACCTGCCCTGAGTCACCAGGCCCAGGGACACCCAGGCCCAGGGCTACAGAGGCTCCAGTCACACAGAGCTCATTGTTCCCCAGACAGTGGGGCTCTCACTTGAGTGGGGTGCATCCTTACCCAGACAACAGGGTTCTTATTGAGAGGGGTTCTCAGCTGCTCTGCAAACAGATTCTGATGTTCAGGGAGTTGGCATGAAAACAGAGAAGGGGGCTGGTGAGATGGCTCAGTGGTCTAAAGCACCTACTTAGAACAAGCTTAGCAAAACACAGGGAACGCGGTTCAATCTCCCAGCACCACATGCCAGCCAGCCCCGCCCCCTGGTGGGCTGAGCTGGCCACACACAGAAAGAAAGAAAGAAAGAAAGAAAGAAAGAAAGAAAGAAAGAAAGAAAAAAGAAAACAGAGAAGGATCCCTTGGGGGCAGTGTGCTCACCCAGCAGGCATTTTGAATGAAGTGGCCTGTTGGGCTAGATGTGGACTCAGGCAGGCTGGAAGCGTGGCGTGCCCATTGCCACGGGAGCCGACTTGTGCCCACAGGGACTCTCACCAGGATCCCACGTCTTCGCTGCTCTGGTTGCCAAGGTCACCAGGGCAGTTTGCCAGTGAATGGCAAAACCCAGAGGTTCAATTTGGGTGAATGCCAGGGAACCTGGCTTTGTCTTGGTGGGGATGGCTGTGTGCCAAAGGGCAGATGCCCTCTGAGCTAGGTGGGTTAGGGGAGTAGGGGCTTTGGCACCTGAGGCGGTGTGTCCTGTGCCATCCTTGACGTTTCTACATCTACCCTGCAGACCCGTCCATGTGACTGCCACGCCCACCGCTGGCCCAGACCTCCACAGACAGATGTGGGCTGAGGCTGGGTCCTTTGTGCCTGGCTGGGATCCTGCGGGTGATGCAGGGGGCGAGTGAGGAGGGTGGGCAAGCCTGTGAGGGCTGAGATCTGCAGGAAATTGCTGCCCTCTGCACAGGGTGCCCATACCTGTGTGAGCCATGGGGACGCAGTGCCTCCTGGTGGACGTGGGCCACGGCCCTTCGCAGGTCCCTTCTCTGCCCAGGACTAGCCCCCAGAGAATGGTGGCCTGGTAACCCGTGTGGCTCCGAAGCAGATACTGTGCTTTCCTGGGGATTCTTCCTGAGCCACAGGGCTGGGGCCAAGACACCTGCATGTCCTATCCTGGCTGCCCTCCTGTTTCCTGGACTAACCAGCTGTGTGGTTCCAGATGTTGAAGAGGCTGGGAGAGGATGAGCCACAGACAGAGAAGCCACTGGCTGAGCTTGACAACCTTGGACACACAGACTGGGTAAGAGGTGGCCCTCTGCGACCCCCTCCCACCCGGGGTGAGCACCAGGCCGCTGTGGTGCCTGTGGGCTGACAGCCACTCCTCCTCGGGGCCAGGCCCGGTTGTGGGTGCAGCTCATGCGGGAGCTTCGCCACGGGGTGAAGCTCAAGAAGGTGCAGGAGCAGGAGTTCAACCCCCTGCCCACCGAGTTCCAGCTCACACCCTTTGAGATGCTGATGCAGGACATCCGGGCCAGGAATTACAAGCTGCGCAAGGTCATGGTGAGCCAGCCCGACCCCTGACCTTCTGAGGCTGGCGGGGGCCATGGGGTAGGGACAGGCAGGTGTGGCCCTGTGCCTGCCTCTGTGTTCCACAGGGTAGGAGGTTGTGGAAGGCCGAGTAGCCCGGAGAGGCGGCCATTCAAGGCAAGACTGCAGCATCTTACTGGCCTCCCCCACACTGGCTTTGCTTTTAGCATTTTATGTCTGTTTTTCTTCCTGAGACAGGGTCTTGCTATGTGGTTCTGCTGGCCTGGAATCCACTATGTAGTCCAAACTGGCCTGAAACTTACGCTCCTCCTCCCTCAGCCTGAGTGCTGGGACGACAGAAATGTGCCATTACACCCACCTCCTTAGCATTTTAGTAGGCCAGTCCCCTTTGCTGTTATGTCAGCTCCATGAGGTGGGGCCCCGACCCGTACTTCCAGAAGAATCTGAGGTACCAGAGGGTTGGGTGACTCGCTCAAGGACGCTCCGCCATGTACCTGCCATGCATCTGCCCTGTAGCTGTGAGAGGGAGGATAGGTCTGAAGACCAGGCCCTTGGAGCCCTTGGTGCTCAGCCCAGCTGCCTGCACTCTGGTCGACCTGCAGGTGGATGGGGACATCCCTCCCAGGGTGAAGAAGGACGCACACGAGCTCATCCTGGACTTCATTCGCTCCCGGCCTCCCCTGAAGCAGGTACTGGCTCTGCATATCCACCTCCAGGGCACCTGGAGCCTGGTGCTGTCCTCTGCTTCTACAGGCAGCTGCCTGGCTTTCTGGCTAGAAGACTGGCCCTGGCCCTGGCCCTGCCTGGCCTGGCACAATGTGGCCAGGGTCCTCTTTGGGAAGAGCAGTGCTGGCAAAAGTGCCCGCCAAGCCGCAGAGCAGCACCCCCTCCCAGCCAGCAGGGGTGGCGCTGAGCACTTTGGACTCCAGGTGGGCCCCCACTGCAGCCCTCGCTCCCCTGCCCCCTGGCACATCACTTCCTTGCAGGTCTCTAAGCGCCAGCTTCGCCCACTGCCGCAGAAGCAAAGGACCCTACATGAGAGGATTCTGGAGGAGATCAAGCAGGAGCGCAGGCTGCGGCCCGTGGGGGCCCAGTGTTTGGGCACTCGGGGTAAGTGAGGGGAGGGCATGGGGTGGGAGGACACCCCTGCTTCCCCAGCCAGGTCACAGACCAGGGTGATGTGAGCCCCATGAGCTTCTGGCACTGCAGTTTTGCAGGGTAGACCAGGACCCCTGTGAAGTTTTAGTGCGAGGCAGGTGAGGAGGAGGGACCTTGTATTCTGAGGTACAAGGGCCTCAGTTTGCCATTCTGCGTCTTGCACAGCGGAATGACATCTATGTGGGAAAGAAAAGTAAATCAGTGTTCTTAGGTAGGGAGAACCAGACATTCATTCAGATGTGGAAGACCTGATCTTCTGTACATAGTAGAGGAAAACTCCAGTCCCACGCCTGCTGTGCCTCGGGAGGCGAGGTAGTTTCCACCATCAGCTGGAGTTGGGTAGCTGGCTGGCCTCTGTTTCCCCTTCCGACAGGATGCTGCATGTGGAGCGCCTCCTCACTCTCCTGTCTACCGCAGGCTTTGGCTCCCTTCCCTGCATCCTCAACGCCTGCTCTGGGGACGTCAAGTCCACTTCCTGCATCAGTCTGTCTGTCACCGATGTCGGGAGTGGCACTCAGCGCCCACGGCCCCGGGTCCTGCTCAAGGCACCCACACTGGCTGAGATGGAGGAGATGACTACCTCTGAGGTCAGAGCCATGAAGACCATGGGGGCCCAGCAGGGGTGGGGTGAGGACTAAAGCCAGGGGCCAGGCCAGCTGGGAGGGGCAGGTGGAACAGCCCCTGCCCCCACTCAGCAGGCCAAAGTGACCAAGGGGTCCTGGGCCGGCAGCCTGGGGCCAGCTCGTCTCACAAGTGTGCCAAAGAAGGTTTGCGTGGCCAGGATCCTGCAGCAAAGCAGCCCCTGGCCGGAGAGCAAGGTATCGCGGCAGGGACCCTCAGCCACCATGGCCGCTGAGTGCTCCTGTGCTCTCCTCTCGGTGGCAGCTAGCTTTCAGACTCCTCCTGCACCAGCCTGTCCTCTCCAGGTCCTTCTGGAAGGGTGGCCCGGGTATTGAGGCACTTGCCGCAGCCAGACATGGTGATGCACACTATAATCCAACATTTTGCTAGGCTGTGGCAAGAGGATTACAAGTTCAAGCTTAGCCTGACCAATTTAGCAAAGACCTCACACCTCATCTCAAGGTAAAAGTGTAAGAGAATGGCTGGTGATGTAGCTCAGTGGGAAGGCCCTGGGTTCAATCTCCACTACCACCGAAAACAAAAAAAGAAGGGTGTAGCCAACAGCAGAACCCTGAGTCCAGCACTCAGTCCAGGTGGCCGGAGCTGGGGGCAGCACGGCCAGGTGAGCTGTGTCTGGCTTGTCTGCAGGAAGAGGAGTCTCCGTGTGGGGAGGCGACACTGAAGCGCGATCGCTCCTTCTCAGAGCACGACCTGGCCCAGCTGCGGAGTGAGGCGGCCTCCAGCCTGCAGCCAGCTGCTCCGCCCCGGGAAGGGACAGCACCGCCCCGGCCACGGGCAGGCAGTGTGCACACCTGGAGGCCCAGCGCCTGGGACCAGGGCAAGTGCGCCTTGCACCCCCGACGCCCTCCCCTCAGATTCTACCAGGGTGCTGTGTCCTCTGCAGGGAAATGGGTCCCAGTGTGCAGCCATACCTGGGGATGGAAGAGGAGGGCTTCCCGCCGGAGAACCTTTTCACTAAATAAGCACCCATGTCCATTGTGAGCCATTCTCTGAGGAACGTGCAGCCCCTGCTCCCATCACTTAGGGACCACTACTGTTGCCCGCACACACAGCAGACAGAGGCCAGGTGCCAGGCGCTGCTGGGCCTCGCCCCTGTGTGGCTGCTAGGGTCTCTTGTGGGGAGGGCTCCACACCAGAGCCCGCCCAGCACCAGCGGCTATTGTATTGCTCTTTCCCACCAGGGAGCCGAGGGCCACACAGTATCTGCAGCTGTGCAGGGAGTGCCCCTAGACTGCACGGAGGGCTGCACCTGCCCACGGGGCATCCAGGCCTCTGTGTGCCTGTGAGCCGCCTTCAGCCACTTCCCTCCCAGGGCCATGGTCCAGACCAGGCCAACTCTGGATCTCACTGATGCCCCGGGTACCCCCATCGGCAGCCTCCCAGAGCCTCAAGGCCGGGGGTGGAAGCCCCTCCTCCCCCTGCCCCGCAGCATCCTGGGGAGGAAGGCGCTCCTGCGAGGCATCCTGTGTGTGCTCGCGTCTGGCTTTACTTCAGGCCTCCAGTGTGGGCTCGAAACAGTAGGTGAACTGCACAGGCTCCATCAGGGACACTTTCCACCCTGAAGCATGCACTGCTATTGTGCCTGGGCACTGCCCTGCTCTCAGCCTCCTGCAGGGCTCCTCAGGCCTGTGCTCTTCCTCCAGGCTCCTGTCCTGTGGGTGTCCAGCCCCGGTCTAATCCCAGTGTCCCCGCGCTCAGCAGCCCGAGCTCTGCAGATGGACCTGAAGCCCCCGCACCAGACCCCAGGCACCTCTGGCTGGTGAGTGAAGGCGGGGGCCTGCCCAGCACCCTTTGTTCCTCCTGCAGGCCCAGCGCCTGAGGACTTTGCAAGGGCCACGGGCTGAAGTTCCAGGGGACTCCAGGGCAGCGTGGGAAGGAGGAGCATGTGGTGCAGACTTGACTCGGGTCAAGATTCTTCCCTGTGACTGAGAGCCAGCACGGGCTGCCTCCTGAGGCTCCGCAGGGCCTGCATTCTCAGCCCATGACTCTCACGAAGCAGGTGACAGGAGCACCCATGGGCGTGCCAGTGTCAGCAGTGGTTGACAGCACCGCTCGCTGCCCTGAAAGGCCCAGGGAGGGCCTGACAGATGCTTTGCGGCACGCAGGTGCTGTGCATTGAGCCGGTGCTCCTCTCGGCCAGGGGCTGATGCGGGACCCTTTCGGCCTTGGATCAGTTATTTGCTCCTGCGTTAAAGCCACAGTTTGACATGTTAAAGTAACGAGCGAGCGCTTAGTGTCTCACACGGCCCCTGAGAGGTAGGAGCGCTTCTGGCTGCGAGGATGCATGGGGTCCTAGTGGCTGCAGCAGAGGCTCAGCCCTGTCACGCGGCTCTGTGGGGTCTGCTCGAGTGACCCCTCAACTTGGCAGCTGGGGTCATCCAGATTACTAGTGGGACCAAGGCCCAAGCGGACATGTGTCCTTGCTCATTCTGTGTCCAAGTCCAGCCCACCCTCAGGGCGAGGAGGAAGGGAGCATCTACAGCTGAGAAACTGGTGACAGGTTTTTAAATCTGCAAGTCTTCTAAGAGACTTTTCAGCTTGGATGTCTTAGCAGTGCTTTCGGAGAAGCCTTGTCCTGCCGAGGCACCTGCTTACCAGCCAGGAGTATGGAAAGGGTTTGTTGTATTGCCTCTGTAAGCTCAGAGACAAAAGACAAGTGAGGCTTAGGAAGATCCACCCTCAAGCTCTGTGCCGGTCCTGGGAGGTAAAGCTAAGATCACTCAACAGGAAACCAGGAGGCTCTGGGAGCTCTGGGACTGAGGCGTCCCACGCGGGTCAGGTTTGCAGTGAGGGTGAGGCCTCCAAGGGGTGCAGATGAGGTGGGCCCTGGTCGGCTCTGACCAGCCATGGAGTGTGCTGCAGGTGGGGACACAAGGGGAGCTCAGGGGTGTGGCCTGCGGGGTGGGCAGCTTGGGGCTGCGAGGGCGGGGAGCCCTCCTCAGAGAGTGGCCAGGCGATGCCTGTGTTCCAGGGATTTGCCGGGTGTCTGTCCGGCTGGCATCTTTAGGGAATGAGGGGGGCTGGCAGGGCAACCCTGCCCACAGAGCTGCTGCTCCCCAGGAGTTCAGCCACCCCGTAGAGAGCCTGGCCCTGACGGTGGAGGAGGTGGTAGACGTGCGCCGCGTGCTGGTGAAGGCTGAGATGGAGAAGTTCGTCCAGGACAAGGAGCTCTTCAGCAGCCTGAAGCGGGGAAAGGTGAGGCGCCTGCACAGGGGAGGGCTGGGAGCGCTGCTGGGGCGAGCTGCCCTTGAGCCAGGCCTTCTCTTCTAGGTTTGCTGCTGCTGCCGGACCCGGTTCTCACTGTTCTCCTGGCCGCCCACATGTCTCTTTTGCAAGAGGTGAGCCTCAAGTGGGCACAAGTGAGCAGGGGCAGGCAGGGCAGGGAGATGCACGAGACCCCTGCAACTGTGAGCATGGTTATTCCACACCGCGGCTGCACGTGTTGAGTCTGTCAGTGCAGTGGGAGAATGCAAGTATTTTTCAGTCCAGAGGTCTCTTTTTTTCTACCTATTATGTTGTGAATTTAGAAAGCCCAGCATCAGGCTCCTTTTCTTTTTCTTTCAGGATGGGGTCTCAGTAAGCACTAAGTTGCCCAGGGCGGCCTTGAACTTGTGATCTTCCCACCTCAGCCTCCCAAGTAGCTGGGATTAAAGCACATGACCTTGAAGCCTCCTTTCAGTCAGTTTTCTCAGGAACCTGGGTTGTAGCTGAGTGACAGCACTTGGCTAACAAGCACGAGGCCCTGGGTGTGGTCCACAGCACCACAGAAACAACACACACACACACACACACACACACCACGCAGTGGCCTCATAAAGCGTGGTTCTCTGGGTGGAGCAGGCTGGGCTTCAGCTGAGTCCAGGACTTTTCCTTTGGCCTCCTTTCTCTGATCACTGTTCTGCACAGCATCTGGACTCCTGAGCTTGGTACTCAGCACATACTTGCATCCTCTTGGGGAATCTCGTTCTTGGCTTGTATGCTGACAGCAGTGGCGACAGTGCTGGGTGACACTGTTGATGCTGCCAGCTTTGCCAGGGTGACACGTGCAGGGCGTTCCTTCTTCTCATCCCCTGATTTCTCCAGTGTCTCCTTTCCCAGAGATCTGCACATTTGGCAGTGTTTCCCCAGATGTACGCTTTCTGGGAGGGCAGGCCTCACAGCCTCTCCACTTCCCTTGTGTGGTAGCCATTCTGGCAGATTCCTAGAAGGTGGTAGTGCCAGCCAAAATGAACGTTTAGAGCTGGAGTTGTAAGTGTTATTTAAATAGCTAAGGAACTCCCACTTTCAGCCAAGACAGAGCAACAGGAGCCTGCAGCTAAAACAGCCAAACACCCAGGACCCAAAGATACGAAACAATGGTTTTCAGCACTGGTGTCAGCAGCCCCAGGAAGCAGACCAGGCGCCTGTGCCGGCCGGGAGAGTGTCCGGGATGTGTGCAGAAGAGGCCAGGCTATGCAGGCCCTCTGGGGAAGTTCCCGGGGAGACTGAGGCACAGAGAACCTCAGAGAGTGGCTCAGAGGAGCCTGCTGACCACTCTGCAGCGTGATGAGAGGAAGTTAGTGGTTCCGAAGCTGCCACCCGTAGCCACACTGGCTCACTGCCTGGCTCAGTGCTTTTTTCCTTTTTTTCTCTTTTGTTTTCTGAGACAGGCTCTCTTATGCAGTTTAGACTGGCTTTAAGTTTGCTATGTGGGGGCTGGCCTGATAGCTCAATGGACTACAACGCCTGCTTAGGCAGAGCACAGCAGCCAGGGTTTGATCCCTGGTGTGCTGTGCCAGTCCCGGCACGCTGAGATGGCGATTGAGACTGGGCGTGGTGACACGTACCTGTAATCCCAGCACTGGGGAGGCTGTAAACAGAACCACTATGAGTCTGATCTATGTAGTGAGACCCTGTAGACCCTGTACACCCTGCCCTAAATACAGAAAGAAAGAAAAAGGTTTGCTATGTGGCCAGGTTGGCCTCAAACTCAGTGACCCTCCCGTATCAGCTGGGGTTACAGGACTACAGGTGTTCCCGCCTGTTCTGTAATAAAATGTCATTGAGCACAGCCCCACCCACTCATTTGTTACTCCTTGAGCACCACCAAAAATGCTTACTCTTACATCACAGAGTTTCCCAACCCCACCAAAAGGCTCACAGAAAGTTGCAGCCACAAGTGTCACAGTTCACAGGGCACCAGTAGAACACACAGGAAGGTCTGCCTCCCTAGAGGCATCAGCCCAACTTCATGCTGAGCAGCAGTCCAGGGGAGGCCTGTGGTTCACGCTGAGCAGCAGTCCAGGGGAGGCCTGTGGTTCACGCTGAGCAGCAGTCCAGGGGAGGCC